CCAACCCTCTTACCCAACATCCCTGTGATTCCTCGTGGAAGTGCAGAGGACTCCTCGGCTTCCACCAAAGCGAGTGTCACGTCAACACATTCCTACCCATTCCTTTCTTGACCTGCGTTCAGGCGCGGCTGGCGCTGGTATTGCCTAATTTGAGATCACCAGTTTTTAAACATTGAGGATGATTGCTAGTCCCAAGCATCGTCTATTGATTCTCTGTGTAATTACAGCTGGTCTGGCAATAACAGAGTAGCAACCGCGGGCGGTCAATCATGCTCATGCTCATATTGAAAAAAAAATGATGTCTCACATGTCACTCTATCAATCTGAAAACGCTATTAAAACTAAAGTAATATGAATAATTCAATGTTTTTAAATAATATGACAAAAATAAAGACAACCTGTTTTATCAAGAAAGTTGGGAGCCCGTGCGTTGTTCGCAACAGGTGGGTGGAACGCATTTATGAGGGTTGCTGCCACTCTGAAATCTTCAAACATATGCCACATAGCCACATTGAAATAACTTTTTTCCGTGTTGGGTATATTCATCACTGCGACCATTACTATGATCTAATGTGATATTGAAATAACCTTGACGGAACAACTTGAAATCTCGCTTGAATAGTTCGTTAACTACCTCAATTACCCATCGACGGATGGTAACCAACCGATTGGCCTGATCCGTTGTCGGTTGGTCTTGATTCCGGCTTTTGGAATGTGGCATCACTGCTTCATAGCCGAATAAACTCAGATCTTTCATAGCCGAGATCCTCTGTCCAAAATAAAAACATCACCTAGCCTAAGATAAAAATTCAGAACTTATACTTAATATACTTACAAAATATACTTAATATTTTTCAAAATTGTTGCATCTGACGTTGTAGCTACATAAGGACCATTTGCTTCAATTATGTATCCATCACAGCAAACGATTAGAAAGGGTTTTAATAGATTATCTTATTAATGAAGGCTGTACGGCTTTCGCTGGAAAGAAAAGTTACTGATTTTTTGAATATATACGTACGTGCCATCGCAGATGACGATTGCTTTTCATATTTTCAGTGAAACATCCATGTTTCCGTGTATTGCGTCTGGGATCATGAGATTTCTTCTCACCACGCTTTCTCGGTCAATATGATCAAATCCTAAATGCCTGGGTACAAATTGCAGTAATAAACATTATCTGGCTTTGTTGCGTAGTCGTTCAAGTGTCCGTCGTCTCATTTTAAACAATGCACTTAGATTTTAGTTTGATGCACCACTACGCAACTTTACAAGATATATTCCCAAAGCCGTACCTGGAGTGTCACATCTGTTTGTAAGAATTTGTTCGAACTGTTGTCTTTGAAATCCTACTAAATAATACAGTTCATTATTGTCCATTTCCAACAAGCTTTCGAAATCTAATGCATTTTGCTGCAAACTATCAAACATTTCTTTTGTATGGGTGCCGTTGAAATCGTGGATTAGGTTGAGAGAATCCAATAATTCTTCCCATTCGTTTCCTCGTAAATGCTCCTGGCACACTCTGGAATTTTGTGGAACGTAGTAGTAATGGTGGATTAGCAAAAACTTCTTGATTCCAGACGGAATACGACATATTGTTCCGTTGTGGCAGTTAGTAAAAAAACAGCGATTAGATGTATTTGCTGCCGCCGAGGAATCCCACGGTATTAAGCTGTTCATTTCCAGCACGAGCATTACGATTAGCTCTGACCTAGTAAGCATGACAGAGATATTCCTTGTTATTAAAAATAATCTATGAATGAAAAGGTTAACAATTCAACAGATATAGTAACTACGTCTTGCATTATATTAACTGTCATTAGACTTAAAAACCGAAATGACCCACTCGCGACAATCGATGTTACTCTCGTTATGTACGTTAAACATAACGTCGCATCTAGTGCGCTATATTCGTTAAATTATGCGCGATAGTTCGCACTAGATGCGACGTTATCTTTAACGGTTTCCACCTCTAGCGACAATATAAATGCAAAAATCTGGTTTGTGTGAGGGTTGTAAGGGTTGTCAATAAAAAAAAAACAGATAATGTCTTATCGTAAACGCCTGCTATGCGAATTTTCCATTGCAGACGTATACAAAAAGACGTTATAGAGTTATCTATTAACAACCCTGATCAGTGTGCATTCATTTCATGGTCAAAACAAAAGCCCTTATCACGGTGAAAACGAAGTGAAATCATAATTTGTCACTCACGGTGATGCGATTTCTTATTCAATTTGCCCAGGAATCACTTCATCGTGGATGGGAATTCGTCACTTTCCTTCATTTCCCTCGTGAAATGACACCCGTAATAAGGACCAAATACTTTTTCTATAACACTTAATCCATAAAACTAAAAAAAAAGTCTTATGCTTATTAAGACACTTATGCTGAAAATATAAACGGATGTACTACCGTTGGTGCAACTGCATCAGCAATAAAAACGGCCACATCAGGATGTAATTCGAAGAAATCTCTAGTTAACAGACGAAGACATCTTCGAAGTACCGAACAGTTACAAAGTAGGCAAAATATGATTTCTGTGTTGCACGGGAAATCAGTTGAATTTATTCTAAGCGAATGCTCAACGAAGCATCTGCAGAACAAATAAATACCTTAAAGATAGTTGATATTACTCCTAAGAATTTTACTTACATGAAAAACTGAAAAAAATAACACAACATACCGAGATATGAATAAAGTTAACGAATTCCGGAAATCAAAATGTAGCTGGCAATAAATCCTAGTGAATTTGGTTTAGATAGGATACACTACTCGAGCTTCGTCGAAATGTTACCTGAACTGATAGCAAATCAGAAAAAAAGAGCGAGATCCACAAATGAGAGAATAATTATGTAAAAGAGGCCATGGAGTGAATTTATTTTCACATAGGTCGTTGTTCCCTTATTCAAAGCATCGAACAATGGTGTATGATAATGGTAAGCATATACGGGAATCTGAGGTCACATGATCCCTGTTATTATTTTCCGGTGCTATTGGATCCTTGTTATTACATTGTTTATAGCATTCTCTAACAATCATCAATTCGGATACTTTTATTCAATACTCATTATTTGGCTACTCATACTAATGTACTTGTTGCATTCCGTTGATACGTAGCGTTAATCTGACTTAGTAGGCGCTATAGCCAGATTTCTTTATTGAGAACCCCGAGAGACCCAATTAAAGAGATTAGTCGTGTTTACCTACAAGCGTTTGTGAGATCAGCGAGCTTGTAACTCTAAGGGAGTGCCGGGATGCTAAAGGATAGAAAAAAACACACAAACACACACACACACACATCACATGCAAAAAGAAAAAGATGATTAAATAGCAAAATGAGCGAAAATGGCCAATTACCAACAATACACCTTCAGTAACTTTTTTCTCCCACGGTAAATTTTGTTTGACCTCGTACCAACTTTTTCTTGTCTCAATGATACCTTTCGCATGAGATATCAGTCATTGATGTATATTCTTGGACCAGTCTCCAAACATTTTTGCCCAATGTCCTTTTACATTCAATCTATTTCGTTACACTTTTTTTATTTGCATTCTAGTATAGTCCAAAAAGACGTAATCCTACGTCAAAAGAGTACAAAACCGTGCCTGAGGGAGATACAAGCGTTCGGTTCTTGCAAAGGAAAAATTTCCTGATCAGAAGATCGGTTTCACAAAATTCACCGAACATCGGCCGCCAGAATGTGTTTTGGCGCGAGCAGCGTATGCATGTGTGATATTCACGAGAATTTCTCGACTCAAGTTTACAGGAGCAAAGTTTGATCAAATCGAACTATTCACTCACACACGCAATCCCTCAACCGAGTCGTGTTTTCTAAATCAGTGTAAGGCTTCATCATGTGCCGATATGAACCAAATACATGCTATGATTTGGTCATACCTGAATGACAGTAGCATCAACAATCAATACGAAACTAACGATTTTAAATTGGCTCACTACTTGACTAGCCTATTGGTCCCAAGCAAACGATTAACGTACCCTATTCTAGTTGAAATTCTATTACTACACTATGTTTGTTTTGATTCGCTATGAAAGTTTGACAGATAACATCAGGGGTGTGTGGATTCATGCACAACATGCAGGGATGAGTGAAATAGCTTGGGACTGCTTGGGACCGTTGTTCTGGTACTGAGTGAGCCAAAAATAATAATGATTTTCTTCGGGACCCAGTGGTCTTAGAGTTACCTCTATGGTACCAGTGCTGAGCCAAAAAGTTGAGCACGTTATTTCGGGGCCTTCTAATCTTAGAGTAACCTAGAGAGTAACCTCTATGGTAGCATTGTGGAGATCAGAGCAATGTTCTTTGGAAACTGTGATCTCAGAGGTTAAACCGTTTGTAGACTGTTTTATTGATGCAATCCCAGCAGTTCGAAAGCACGATTATACCGCAGTGAAACAAGCCGAGTTTTACAAATTCACTCGTGATAACTTACGTGAAGGTGAAGTCGTTGTTGTGGCAGATTTCTCTCAAAACTATTCTTATGGTTTTCAAGTTAGTGTACAAGGAGTTGTCTACACAGTACACGAGAATAAAGTTGTACCATTGAACTGTGTCATAAACACACGATACACTAGAGCACAACACAACACCATTCAGCGCCATTTCATGCAGCATCTAAAATCCACAGTTGTCCAAAATTTCGTACTTCTCCGATAATGCGGTGTCGCAATATAAAAAACTGATTTATTATTAGAAACCTGAGTTTCCACAAAAGCGATTTCGGGATGCCAACTACTTTGTAATCCATCGCAAAAGTAGTTGGCATCCCAGGAACTTTGAAGAGATTGGCAACGCGAGCTAGTTTACAGGGAGCCACTATTGAGACGTCAAAGGAGCTGTATGACATTTGTTAAAGCTTTAAATATTATGGTGATTTTTTGCCACGTACGTTAAAATAATGTTACTGTTGTTGTTAAACAATTTGGAAACCAACATAAAACGCAAAGTTAAAAAATGAACTCTAGGCATTTCCAACTACCCCATGCTCAAATCGACTGCTCCTTTCGCGCGGACTGTTCCGTAGAATGCAAATGCAAACACGGTTACGTTGTTGGCCGTTAGTATCGTCATGTCGTTGCGATAGCTTCCCACCGGTACGAAGGGTGGAAACATTGAATCGGTGAAAATGAAGTCTTTGAACTCAAAAGTTCCCTGCAATGACAAATTAGTTGTACTCAATGTAAACAATATCTAAAATTTTGAAATCTAACCTGATATGGACACTGGAACGTAGAATTTGGAAACATCAATGACAAAGAACGCCGGTAAAGTCTATGCATTGGGTTTAACTGTTGATCATTTTTGTTGAAAAATTCACAAATGTCGCCTCTATCGTCAATACCCAGCATGGGCCTCCATACGTTGACGTTGCTTTTGTACCATATTTTTATGGTTCCGTAAACGGGTTTGAATGGTTTCAAAACAGTACCTCGGAAGGAAAGGGACGAGGATCCATTTCGGTAAAGTTTTATGCTGCACTTATCGACTCTCGAGTATTTGTAGGGTTGCCCAGTGCACAGAAACTTGGTCGTGCGAACGGTGAAAGGCCGATAGTCGAGGAATCCACTGTACCAAGATGTTGTGGTGCTTACAGAGCTCAACGCCACGCAAACGATAAGTGTCAGCACGAAGAGCATCGTAGTCGTTTAAAATGTTGATTCGATTATGCAACAAATAGATTTTAGATACTTATGATTCAAAAAGAGCTGATGCACCAAGAGACTGTTAGAACGTAACTGGTTATCTACGAAAACGTTTGTTTAAAAAAGCATTTCAAGCTGGCATGTTTTTTTATCGTTATGTTCATCAGGTGTGGTGTTTTGATTGCAGCATGAGCGAGATGCACGCAACAAGATATTTCATTCCTACAACGACGTTACCAAGCGGCGCCGGTGGTGTAGTGGTAAGCATGATTACCTCTCACCACAGCGCAGGCCTGGGTTCAATCCCAGCCGGCGCCACCGGGATTTTCTGAGGCATATATCATCTCTGATGACGCCGTAAAGCCGTTGGTCCCCGGGTCATGAGTTGATGGGTCGATAGGTAGGGTGCAGGTGTGGGAGCTGCCTCCCTGGCGTCGGTAGCATTAGTACTCAGCACGGAAAACAAATCAAGGAAAAAAAAGACGTTAGCTCAGATACTATTAGAGATAAATATATTCTGCATTATTTTGGCTTACATCCCAACTAGACTGTTGAACCTGTTTTTCACTTAGCATGCTTTGAGCACTTCGACAGTTGTAAGCTGAGAGCTTTCTAGGTGAATAACAATTTTAATTCGTAGCGTGTCACAAGCACATTGATACTAAATATCCTTGAGCGAATTAGAAATCGATCCCGTCATTTCTGATGTGATCTGATTTATAACCGCACCCTTACTGAAAAAAAACAATTCCAGTGAATAAGTGAGATTAATTATTCGGTCTGATACACATTAGAATTAAAAAAAAATAGTTCATTTGTAATCATTTGGGGGACCCTGTGCCCAGTGCTGAGATTTATCATTGTCATTGACAGACTTTCGCGCGATATTGACAAAATTGTTCGTCACATAGTCACTGACAGACTCGAACCTCAAAAAAACCTTCGTCAAAATCTCATTCATTTTTTCGTCAATGACAAAGATTCACCTGGTAACAAAAAGTGTAATTTAGTACATTCTGTGTCACATTATTGTTATCCAAGTAGCTCAGGACGTAGATACTTGTTCACTGAAATGGATCCATGTAATTGTTTTGCTCAAGTCATTTAATTTCGTTACAAATTTAGCTAATAAACAAATCTGCACATGTTCGTCACTGACACCATTGTCATTGACAATTGACATGGTTTGCCTTGACTATGACTGTTAGCTCAAATGAGTGACCAAAGCAGAATTGTCAATATCACCGTGTACTGTCGAGATTTTGCAGCACTGCCTGTGCCACATTGGTCTTGTTTCGATCCTAGCTGGTGATTGGTGGAGTGCCCCTTTCTGAATCCAAACTGTTCCGGAGGGAGAATGTTATTTTCCTCAAAAAACTTGATCAAACGATTGAGAATGAGTTTCTCGAACAATTTGCTCACCGCTGAAAGAAGACTGATTGGTATGTAGCTTGAAGGCAATGTTGGATCCTTACCGGGTTTGCGGATTAGTATAATGTTTGCTACCTTGCAGATGCTTGGAAAGTAGTGCAGCTTCAATCATCTGTTGAAAATAGAGGTTAAAAGAGACTGCACTTTCATGCTGAGTCTATTTAAGATCAAGTTGAATATGCCGTCAAACCCAGGAGCCTTCATGATCTTGGTGCATTTCAGCGCTGAGCAAATCTGTTGTACTGTAATCATATCCACCGCAGGCACGACACAAAGGGAGGTATCTAGGTTTTGAATGCATTACGCAACTTGATCATCGAGCGGACTTTGGATAGTCGAGCCAAGCAAATGCGATGTAGCGACATGCTTACCGATCGCATTTCCTTTCTCCTGTGGGGTGATTAAAAGCCGATCGTCATCATTTTCGACTCTGAGTGGAACTGGTTTGGGATGAGTTTTCAGGACCTTGGCTACCTTCCAGAATGGTCTGGAACGGTCGTCCAGATTCTGCACAACACGCCCAAAACTTTCATTTCGGAGTCCATTCTGGAAGCAATCTGCCTATTCAGATCGGCCATTTCACGTTTTTTGCCCAGATCTCCAGTCCTCTGAAACTGGCGTCTACGCACATTTCTCAAGCGAATCAGTAACTGGGTGTGGCAATCAATGTCAACAAACTTACCCCTCACAGGAACTTATCGAACACACGTCTCGTCAGCCATGGATATGGCCTGGTGGAGTCCTTCCAGAGCCCGGTCGATGTCCTCTACGGTGTCAAGTGGCGGATTTTCATCGATGTTGCTGTCGACCATTCGTCCGTACTGCACCCAATTGACATGGTGGTAGTCTTTACGCAGGCAGCTTCTAGCAGGAACGACGTTGACACCGACTTCAGTGACCACCGGTTGGTGGTCGGAGCCGATGGGGACGACTCTATCCACGATGCAGGAAAGATTGTGTTTTGCTGTGGCTAGCTGCGCGCACGCTGAGTAGATAGAAAGAATATTTACGACAATTCTGAAGATTTCCTGCAAAAAGATGATGCGCGATGCAAGTAGATTCGAGAAATGAAAGAAGATTTTTCGAAGATTGATTCGCTAGTGGGAGATTTGTTGAGCATCTTGACTTGAGATTTAGATGTGTCGCCCCCCTCGGTCGCAGCTGAGATCGTTGTGCGCCTCCGGCTTGGATAGTCCGATGTTTGACAGGAAAAAGTCCAGGGTGGAGAGATTTCCCGCGGGAGAGATGAAAGTTGGTTCGTCCGGAAATTGCACAGTGTACAATCCATGTTATGCGTGGTCGAACAATAGATATCCGTTCCGGTTCCGCTGGTAGTTCCTCCAAGCTTCATGGCGGGCCTTCAGGTCGCCCCCAACGATGAATCGGGAGCTTGTACGAGTGATGGCGGTCAGGTCGTTCTTGAATTGGATGCCTAGGCCGTTGCTTGTGGTACACTGGCGTGGGCAGTAAACAGCGATAAACCGGACATTTCCAGTTGGTGATTCCACCTCCACGCTAACGGCCTCGATGATAGAAGTGCGGATGTGGGGCAGAGTGCAGAACTTGATTCCCTTTCTGACGATGACCGCTACACCACTCCCCCTGGAGCTGGTGCGATCAAGCCGGATAATGTTGTGGTCAGGCAACCAGAAGCTGTCACCGGACTTTAGGTGGGTCTCGGTTAGAAGACCTACATCGATTCTGCTTGCGGAGGAAGTCAGCAAGCTCAATTTGTTTAGCTCTTACAGAACAAGCGTTCCAGGTAGCGATGGTTAGCAGTTTAGACACCATACTGGATGATGAACTTACCGAGCACTTGGATCTGTTCGGGCTTATTGCGGCACTTACGTAGAGCACCGGTCATGTTGATGAAAATCTCCATCAGTTCATCCGCTGAGAACAGATCGGAATTACTTGTTTGAGCTGTTTTGGTTGTCTCCAGAATCCAGGGGGGATGGAGAGCTTTGTCCAGTAGAAGATCCAGACGTTTCTTGAGGGGGTGCGATTCACTTGTCCATGAAGGGACGGAAAGTCCTCCGCCCTGAAACCCGGGGCCTTATCCTTCCTTCATGCTGGTTGCTTGTTGGTGGATGCCTGATTTCGGATGCGCTTGAAATCCTCGCGTTTAGGGCACTGCTTGTTGGATCCTTGGTGAGCACCACCACAGTTGGCGCATTTTAACGGGGAGAACAGCAAACCTGTTGGATGTAGGTACACCCGAGCTTCCTTCACCGGGCTTCGCGAGCGATGCTTCCCTATTTCGGGGCACGCACACACAAAAACCGCGAAAGAGAGAGCGCGAACACTATCGCCACGAACTTTTCAAACAACTCGAGAAAGCGAGCTAACACCGAACTGAACTGCTTGACGGACGATCAAGCAGAATGTTTTCAATTTTGAAAAGTGTTTTCAAGGAAAATTGGTAAAGTATTTATTTCAGCAGATTCGTGAAGCAATATCCTATCATTTGTCGTATTTCGATTTTAATTACATCTATAAATGACAAAGTTACGAACGTTCAAAACCTGCATTGGTACTGAGTATGGAAAACAAATCAAGAAAATAAAAAAGAACGGGTATTAAGGTACAACATACGTGCTGGTATACAAGTGCAATCTTAAAATGCATTTATTTAGCATACACATTATTTTAATAAAATCTGGTTATTGCTAGGTTAGTAGGAAACTCAAGGATTACTAAATAGAAATATGATGTAAACAATTTAATTTCTTTTCAGATTTTTAGTTGTGTGCATTGATTTCAACTTTTCTACCATCGTAGCAGCAACCAGATTTTAAAAAGATGCTCCATTTGCAAAATAAAAGTATTTTAATGTTGCACTCGTATTTGAACCATTATCACTTTCATAGTTCTTCTATTCTCCATTTGATTTGCCAATATAAACGTACTACGACGTGGCAAATAAATAAAAGAGCATAATATGTGATACTTTCACATGACATACAGCTTGAGATTAAGCCCTTCCACCTTATGCAAGGTGTCAAAAGTGACTAACAGGAGGGAGATAAGTTTCTTCATTCTAAATCCTAATATGTCACCCCAAAATAGGTCCCTACTTAAATGAGCTAGCAGTGGCTTTTTAACCGCCATTGGTTGTCTCTTCTGACGTGGCTATTAGTTCAGATACAGACTCAAACAACTGAGCCTTCACTAGGCTGCACCTGTAACACAAAAAAAATCCTTTACTTCAGTACGTCAACTGATTTGTTAATCTTATTAATAAAATAATAATAATAATAATAATAATAATAATAATAATAATAACTCATCCGAAATATCCAGGCATCACACATTACCATATTTGGAGCACAACCCTATTTATCCATATTCTGCATGATAAGGATATTTCTTTCAAATAAAAACCAGGTTTGATTTCTCAACAAAATTTTCATTTTTAAATGTATATCAAAATCACAGACACGTACATATACTATGGTAAATTGTCACTGATCTCTTCTACTCGATGAATGTTATCAATAAATACCTACTAACTACTACTATTATGCGCGTAAGGATGCAACAGTAAGATAACACTTTCTTTGTAAACTTCCTTAGTTTATAAAGATTTTTCTATTTAGTTTTTGATTATACTGTTTTAGCCACATGAAAAAAAAAATATATCCAGAAGAAAACATTAAGAGAAGGATTGGGTTGTAAAAGAATGCAAAAAATACATGTTGGAGAACAACTAAAAGATTCGCTGAAAACTGAAATTAAATCAGGATCTAATCTATGTCAGTGTATTGTTTCACCTACGCATCATTATTGGGAGCTGTGCGCTTCATTCGGATTCTGGCAATCAAAAACTCACCGTGGAATGCTGAAAAACGACACTCAAAAACACACGCAAAAGTGCATCTGATTCAATGGTAAGTTATTTTGAAATCTTTACCGTTTGTGCGTTTTCTGTTTTATGTTAACTCGAAGCGCTGTTTGCAATAAATTATTACCATAAATATTTTATAAAAACATAACATTCTAACTTTTATTTACAATATACACAAACACATAAACATAACTTCTTGTGTTACCAAATTAAAAACTACCAGACGACTCCTAATCGTATGAATTTAATCAGATTGTTTGGTAACGTTCGGTCGCAATTAAAAATTCTAGTAACTACTTTTTGATGAATTTTAACGACCCCTTAACTATTAAAAAAATGTTCTTCTTTCCCTTACTCGGAATAGATTTTGCTAAAAGATACTCACCTCAGACGGGGCATTTGGCTTCGACGGACATAAGGAACAATATTTGTATTCTCTTCTAGATTGCCAGCAACGTTACGATTGGCTGGGCGTTTTGGCGCATTAGCAGAATCACGATCGCTATCGTTAGCACTGAGGCAAGCAGATATCTGAAAAGCAATAAAATGGCACATAAATGATTGTTTTGCAACGACATGGAAAACTGCCATACCAAATGGTTCCTATCCGAATTGTATCGCCAGACCCGCTTCCTTCAACGGTCGTTTCCCTCTCGAAGCCATTGATCAGTGGGACTCCATTGGACATGCTCTCCTGTGCTAGCAGCGGAATCGGATGCGATAGTTCACTCGTAGACCAGAGGTACAAATCCAACGTCCGCTCGGTGCAATCCGCAATGAAACGCACAAACGGACGGATGTCCCCTTCGTTCGCCACCTGCAGGTAGTCGTAGTACTTGTGTCGATGCTGCTTCTGGATGATAACCGGAGGATAACCGGCCCTCATAAGCAGGGTGTTCATCAGAAGACGGGAAGTTCTTCCATTGCCATCAGTGAATGGGTGGATATGAACTAGCTTATAGTGAGCCATGGCGGCGTATTTTACCGGATGGAGCTGGAAGGTTTGCTTCGCGTTTAGCCAACCTTCGAATCGGCTCATCAGAATTGACAGATCTCCGGGACCGGGAGGAACGTGACCTCCGACATAAACTTGCGTACGACGAAACTCGCCACCCTCGATCGGGTCAACGTGACCTAGAACGCGTCGATGGATCTCCAGGATGTCTTTCAGCGTAATGAAATCATTTCTGAAATACCAGCACCTAAGTTGCAAATCTGAATCAGAGAAGAAAAAACTAAACTCACTTGTTCACCAGCGTTGCATTGATGTACTTCATCGCGGCATCCAGTCCCAGGATTTCATTATGCTCGTCGATACTCTTCCCATCGACTGCCATTCTCGTTTCCAGAATCGATCTCGTCTCTGCCAAACTCATCGTGTTGCCCTCGATGCCCACCGAGTGGTAGATATGCTGAATGTAGGCTTCCTTCTCGGCCCGCTTCAGCGCCACATTCGTGGCCGAAACCGACGATAAGGCATCGCGCTTCTGGTCCAACCTCTCGAAACGCTTCTGATCCAGATGTTCCACAATTTGAGCCGTCCTCTGCCGATTGGCCAGCGCATCCGAGTGGGCCGGATTCACCGTCAACGCTTGATAATAGTAATGATCCGCCCTCACCACATCCTGTTGATTGTGTTCCAAGAACTCCCCATACTTGGTAAGTATTTCCGGATGCTTCGGGGACAGTGCCAATGCATGCTGGAACAACCGAGCAGCCTTATCATCCTTCCCCATCATATTCATCTCAATCGCCACCTTCAACGAGCTAAGCGCTTCCTGCTCATTAGAATCGTGCGGTTCGTTCTTGCTATATTTGCCACTATTATTGCCATCACCTAATCCACTTGGCATCCGGACGGCTGGAAAGTACGGCTCCAAGACACGAACTTCATCAGCAATCTGCAAAAACTTCCCATCCGGAAGGTGATGTGGCGCAGTCCGGGAAGGAAGTAGTACATATTTCGGAGCGTAATTTAGCAACGCAAACATGACCCCGGAAAACATCGAACCGCTGACAAAAATTATGAAATAGTGAAAGCTATTCATTTGATAGCGCCATTTCTGGGACACGCTTCTCGTTGACGATCGCGATCGTTTATGGAGTCCATTGAGATCGGGCGATTGTTCTCCGCAAACACAACACATTTTAATCTGATAGGTTTAACTTCAGAATTTATTGCACTAACGACTGACTACACGTAATAGAAAGAAAATAATGTTTCACGACAAATCACGCACTTTTTAGAATGGAATGTTAATGCCAGCAGCTGATCCTTTTTCCGTTCCAAGTTTCTTTGACGTGGTGAAGCGCAACTGGATTGTTTTGTTTGCTGTTATATGATTGTATGAGTGTCAATCGATAAGAACTGTCAAATGTGGCAATCGGAGTAGGATTTCAATGTAAAAAAAATATCGTTTTTCGATTTATGCACAGAAAGAAAAAGTTGCTGAATAATTTACTCTCGAATTTACTCGAGAATATACAGCCGAACTTTGCTGGTTGGGCTTTTAATCACTAACTGGCGAAGAGATCAATTAAAATAATGTTGTTCGCTGTAATAGAATTTTCTTAGAAGCTTGTGCCATCAACCACCAGATGGGCTAGTATTTTTGTTTTGATTTGAACAAAGTTGATTTTGTGGGAAATGATCTTTGACAGTGAGCAAGGAGTGTTTCATTTTGTCATTTTTTATGCATTTCAGTTTTGAGTAGAGTGAAAGAGATAGAACCAGCTTACGATTTTAAATTGGCTCACTACCCAAGTAAAATTTTCAGCGTTGTGCTGTAAAGTAGCTGAAATAAAGCTGCAGATACAGCTAAGCAGAAGCTAGCAAACTAGTTTTGGAGAGCGTTTGCTCAACTTTTTCACAACTATTATTCAATTTGTCAGTCGTACTGAATCCCAGTGGCAGGCAACATGTTATACATTGACAGCGGGCCCACCACAGCAAAATAAATTATTTGAGCCCGGGACATGCTGCCTACTGTCAAACACTGCTGTTGGTATAGGCCTTGTCACTGGCCTGAACAGCAGCCAATAAACGCTAATATCACTTCTATGCAAATATTAATCAACTTTCAACTTGTAGCTGCAAAACAAAGCTAATAAAGTGAATATATTACTTATTTGATGGCTTCTACACAACCAACCACTCTTGCTGAATAATATAAACAACAAAAGTGCTTTGATATTTTCAGATTAATAGTTTTCAAAATTTTAATAAAATTGGGTACTCAAATTTACATGATTTATAAAAATAATGTTTATTCATATTGGGGAAACGGCTCTTATGTTGGCCTATGGATCTAAGATTGGGCCCATCGCTAAAAATCTGCTATTTACTAATTTTATCTAGATGAACGTGTCATTGGGATGGTACTAATGGATATTTTTGGTCGCTATTGAAAATTTAGTCGATTGCTGAATTTATGTATGGGCCCAAATTAGGGACACTTAGGCCGACATTACATCCATTTCCCCTGTTGTATAAACAAAAAACAAAAATATAAATTTTTAAAATTACCAGAGCAAATTTGGTCCGAGTCCTAGTAACCAAAAGAAGGTATTCGGTCCAACCTCGGGTCCACGGCAATTTCGGAATTTTCCTCGTTCAAAACGACGATAAACAAAAGGATGATTACGAAGAGTGCTTTGGGAACCGATCGCTTTACAATGCAATCCCCTATATCACTTCATGGAAACGGCATTCTTGACGACGTCTTCCTGCTGGAGCAACATTGTTCTCCATGAACTGACGATAAAGAATCTACAAAAACAAAAATGCAACCTTTGAAATACAAGCCACAACCATTGCATACCACAAAAGTGGAACACTCAAGGCCGGCGCACAATGGATACGTTTTCAGGTTTTTTGACAGTTAGCCCATGCATTAGCTGTCAAAAAACCTGAAAACGTATGCATTGTGCGCCGGCCTTCCCCGTAGCAATATCCTGCAGAATGGTTAAGACATTCATAAATGTCATCAGCATCGATAAAGGAGCGCCACCGACCACGGGAATCGACCACGTGTCTACACTGATAAAATTTCAAAGATTGTTTTTATGTGTCCCACACATCAATTTTTGCAATTTGATCAACAAATGATATGTATGTGTCGGACACATACTATTAATATGTGTACACACAAAAAATATTCGTTAAAAAAAAAAAAAACCATTAGTAGAATTAAATGTTTGCATTGGTTCTTTTTGGTAGAAAGCGGCTAGCTTTCAAAACGAAAGTGATCAAACTGTCAATTCAAAAGTTGCCCACTCCCTACTTTTAAAAGTTGAAACTTTCAAATCGAGTTGTAGAACTGTCAAATTGAAAGCATGACAGTATTTAAATTAACAGCGTGTTTCAAACAAACTTTTGACATGAAAGTTTAATATAGTGTAAATAAAATGTGCCACTTTGAATAGGAAAAATAAATGTTGTCAATGTAAAAACAATCATTTTCAATATAATATTTTTTTAAATTATTTATATTATTTTTAATTTCTTGATAATATTTAATAGTATATACTATATTCTATAAATATGTTATTCATGTTATGTCTACCCGGTTTCCGAAGACGTCGCTTCTGTGGGTTCAAAGTTCTCCTATGATTTTTCCACTGCAGCTGATGGAATGCTTCATCCTGCAACTGGTACCTGTTCCGGGTATTTAGACTGCAAATGAGAAAGATACAAATCAATATTGGAAACCTTTAGTTATCTCTTGTAAATACTTACATAAATCTATAAGCTGCATACAGGTATAGCTCCAATCACCCATAATTGCTAATTGTACCATTCTCAAGGCGAACAGGGCTAGTAGATGGTTGTTCAAAACCGTCGTCGTATGACTGATGCAGTTGAAATTCAAGTACGGGTTCAACATATATGTATATATATGTCAAGTACGGAACCCTTTACACGTCGTCGGGCAAAATGTGCAACTCATTCGTCCATTTGGAATTAAAAATTGTTCCCACTTCCATGTGGATGAATTGTGTGCAGGAGAAAGATGAAACATCCGCTGACCATTATTTTTTAGATATTTGGAATTGAAACAATGATTCTCCGTTCTACTTCCACCATGTCAGTTGATCCCGTAGGAATCGTCAGGTTACTCCCACGGAAGATGAGAAAATTCAAGATCAGAATGGAGCTCTTCACTAGGCGCCTTGAATACCAAGTTAAATACGTTGATCTGTGGAGATGAAATTATTGGTTACGTTTCATAAATTGATTCATCATCATCAATTATGGTTTCGTAGTTTATTAAACTTACCGTTGAATCAATTACCACACTAAAAAAACTCCTATGGAAGCCAGCCAAAACCATTCCTCCATCAATCGACGTCAACTCAAATTTAGCGCCAAATGGAGGTCAAGTGTTGCCAAAAACATCGCTATGAAAAGGTATTTTTGAAAGTTGATCAACTTTTATTTTAAAAGAATACGAGTCGAGAGTAAAAGAAACACTTTCAAAACAAAACAATAACTTTTCATTTGAATATTTTCGTAGTTGAAACTACGAAATTTGCGAAACTTTTAATTTGAAAATGCATTATTTTTATTGCAACAATTTTTGTTCTTTGTGTGTACACATAAAAGCCATACACATACTATTAATTTGACTCATAAATTTCATGTGTGCTTCTGGGTGGATTCTGTTTATGTGTGGTCACATGAAAATCATGTGGAATTTTACATGGAAATTCGTCAATAAAAATGTGTGGAATTCTATTAGTGTACGATGTAAAAACAAATTTAATCGATCCTAAAAAAAACATTCCAACTCACCTATCACTCCCTGCTGTAGCGGCAGAATCACCATCGATTGCCACGGCACTATCGTCATTAGTTTCCGTACACCGATTTCACCGTAAAGTGCTTTTTTTACTTCATCTTTCCACTCAAATTCAATTTTGGCGGCAAATAAAGTTGGGTTCAGAGCTTCAGTGCTGCCAAAAACTTTGCCATGAAGAGGTATTTTTGACAGTTGAACAACTTTTATAAAAACATAATGCACTTTTAAAATCACAAGTCCGAAGTGAAAGAAAATCTTTCAAACCAAAGATATAACTTTCATTTTGAAAATTTTCACAGTTTAAACAACGAAATTTGGGAAACTTTCATTTTGAAATTGCATTATTTTTATAGCAACAGTTTTTACTTTTTGTGTGTAACCCTAATAAAAAATTACCATAAACGAACGATATCCAAAATAATAGAACCACAGACAAACAGACATAACACACTGAATATTTCTCATTGTAAAACATCGTCGCTAAAACATTACCGCCATCTGTTGAGTACACTGTGGTGGGTAGTACGCTGAACAGATGGCGGTAGTGTGTAAACGTCAAACGCAAGGGAATTGACTATGCGCGCCAAGGGTGGCCGTACTACCAACTGAGATACTTTTAAATTTACCGTTAAATGCTTGATCGATGAACAACTTGTGAGTGTTATGTCTGTTTGTCTGTGATAGAACTATTCCACAAATGATTTGGATCATACCTCTAACACGTCGTTAAGCAAAATAATCATAACAATTTTACTAGGGAAGTCGAGCCTTATGAAATTCTTAAGTTTATTTGCCTCCGTGCAATGGAAAATGGTCTATCAAACTTTATAAGGCCTTTCGTCGCAAACCGAAGGCAGCCTACGTAAATCAATGGCATCATTGACGAGTGCACGGATGGATTTGAGTTCACTCAATCGACAAAAAGTGACACAACAGCGGGGCCCTGTTTACTAAAAATGAACACATATGTGTTCATTTTTTGTAAACAGGGCCCCGCTGTTGTGTCACTTTTTGTCGAGTGAGTGAACTCAAATCCATCCGTGCACTCGTCAATAGTTTGCCTTACTCGGCAATGCTGCAGCACTGATACAATTTCAAAGATTGTTTTTATGTGTCCCACACATGAATTTTTGCAATGTGATCAACAAATGGTATTTATGTGTCGGACACATCCTTAATATGTGTACACATAAAAGCCATGTGTAACACATACTATTCATTTGACTCTTAAATTTCATGTGTGCTTCTGGGTGGATTCTGTTTATGTGTGGTCACATGAAAATCATGTGGAATTTTACATGGAAATTCGCCAATAAAAATGTGTGGAATTCTATTAGTGTGTTGATTTGCGTGGGTGACCTCGAGGGGGGCGACACATCTAAATCTCAAGTCTAGATGCTCAACAAATCTCACACTAGCGAATCAATCTTCTAAAAATCTTCTTGCATTTCTCGCATCTACTCTTCCATCGCGCATCATCTTTTTGCAGGAAATCTTCAGAATCGTCATCAATCTTCTTTCTATCCACTCAGCGTGCGCGCAGCTAGCCACAGCAAAACACAATCTTTTCTGCATCGTAGATAGAGTCGTCCCCCTCGGGTGACCTACACGGAGTAAAAATACTACCCAAAATTTGAGTTCTTTTTACTTAATATTGACTTCAGCCTCTCACTTGCACTCGTTTTTGTTGTCAAAAAAGGAACAAGAGATTCGACCCAACGATATAGTTCAGCCCAATAAGCTACTTTTGAGTAAAATGCATATTCCTAAATTTACGTGAATTAAACTTAATGTTGGGTTGAATATACTTAAGAGTAGGTAATTTTTTTTGCTGGTGTTAAATGGAAACTACTATATGCGATTTACTCAAATTTGGGTTATTGGGCTGAACCCTGGAATTGAGGGAAAAGTACTTAATTTTGGGTAGTTTTTCATCTCCGTGTACACTTTGCGCGAAAAGGGCTTATAAAGTTTCGTTTTCATAAGTTGATAGACGCTTTTCAATTGTTGGTCGAGATTAGGCCGTGAGAAGTTCACAAGTAAAATTTAGCCCTCCAACATTTTTCAAGAAACATGGTGCATCGCCCGTTGACGTAAAAACGATTTATTCTGACAGTTGCACTTTTGCGACACAAACACACACGCATTTCGGACGGAATGTTGCGCTGTTTGCGTGAGACTTCTGCGAGTTGCGAACCAGAAACACAAAACTGCTGGCTGCAGCCGAGAGGAAAAAACTTCGAACTTGGAGATTTTCTTCAATCGTCGTCGTCGTAAGATCATCGTCGCGGGACAGCCTCTGTATCTCTGTATGGTGCGCGGATTGGATTTCTTCAGCTACTATACTTTTTCGTCCATCCGATCGAAGTGAGGGTGAATCGTTTCTTGTGGCCTAAACTCCATCGAAATCGCGATCCGCAGTTTGTGCAGTGAATGGTGGCTATATCGGTGTCGGCTGTGTGTTTTACGGAAGCTGGTGGAAATAACTAGGTATTGTAAATATTCGAGAGTGGCTGGAATTTTCCTTTTGGCAAGTGTGCGGAAAAAAAAAATCTGATACGATTTCGCGAGGGGAAGCACATCATTCAATCGTAGTCAGTAGAGGAAGCTGCTGTTGAGAAAGAGTGAGGTGAAGACGCAAGAAGCGCAGCTCAAGGAATCGTCTTTGTGTGTGCTGACGGCTTCTGATTCGGACGGACGACGATGCTGACTTGCTGCTAATGATGATGATGATGTTGATGTGATATTTTTTTTCCTCGTAGTAGATCGGATGGTCATGTCTAAAGGGGCATTATACATTCGAAGCAACAGAGCAGCGACCAAAAATCTCTTGAAACGAAGCAATAAGTGAAACAGAAAAGTGTTCCCGTTTGGGGCCCGCGCTCTTGAAACTCCGGAGTGGCAGTGCGTGTGTTCTTTTTTTTGCATTGTTTGCCCCGCGAGGCCAGTGTTCCGGAGATAATTTATGCTGTTGAAAGAATTTGGAATTTGGACCCATTCGGCAAGTGTTTTGCTAATCGTGTGAGACGATCATAGAAGAGCCAGGTTGAATCGAATGTGCGAAAGCGTATATTCGACATTTAAAGCAATTCTCATTGATACAGTTGCTTTCCTGCTGAGCTGCTTTTAAGGTAGGTGGAAGTTATCAAACTACAACTCTTCAAGACTGGGAGAGAATTGCTGAGTCCAATGGGGAAAACAATAATAGGAGATTTCCGCGAGGATTGTAATTGTTCAGGGATGGGGAACATGCGATGAGTTATGCGGATGAATGTTCGTAATTTTTAAAAGTGACTTAGGCAAATCACTGAGTTAATTACTGTCAGTGTTGAGAACGTTGATAAATAAATATAATAATGGGAAAATTTTGATGAGCACTTTTCTATTACTCAACAGCTCAAATTGTGAAAGACGAAAATGTGAAGATTTTGAAATTCGTACTTCACAAGAATGATTAAAGGGTGTATACTACCTGCAAAAACCTGAAATTTTTCAGGGAATTTTATTTAACCTGAAAAATCCTGGAATTCTCAGGAAATTTTCAAATTTCTTCATCAACCTTTTTTTTTTGAATAAAATATGATAAATCAGTCTGAGGCTGAAAATCTCTTTAATAAACAAACAAACAAATAAAAAATGCAGTAGGGGAAGGAAGGGCATAGTGAGCTTCATGTGCTTTAGCCTTGGATTTCTTATGGTTCGAAACAAATAAATTGATCATTAATCATTACAATGGTGATATTGATATTCGTGGTTTGGGACTGGAGTGTGATTTTTACATTATGCCTCACCTGTTCACCCCTGTTACCCGTACGCCAGAGTTTTACACTATTTTATAATACAACCAATTTTATATTCATCGCTAGTTACTTTTACTCTAAGCATAATAATTCTGGGGTAGATTTATCTTCAGTTACGAAATAAATTTTTAGGTTTGAATTGTGTTTATTTAAGAGGCACTAACCATCACTCGATTTGCTTTTGCTTCTTCTTCTTATATTCCTAAATCATCACTTTCTTAAGGTGATACGATACATCACGCTTTTTGCTTTTTGCTCTCCTTTCTATGTGTCAGTGAATTGATTATCATTGATGATGTAGTGGTGTGAGTGTACATCATGCACTACCACAACTACCGTAAACATAGCTGCTAGAGTTCGTTATTATTAGGTCGAATGTGTAACAGTTAATAAAAAAATTATAAAGGTAAAGAAAAGGTAATGTCTTACAGAAAATTTCAACCTTCGTCATTTTTAAAGATTATCTCTTTCTCATCCAATATTGAAACTATCGATACATTTCTATTCAATTTGCCAATATTATCGACCTACCACCTCCCAGGACATCCCTTCCTATACAGAAAATAATTATGCGACTAGCCACCAAGACCAACCAAGTCAAGTAATCATAGTAGTTAATTGATTCAAAATCACACTTTGTACACTTTGGTTACATACGACCTATTCAAAAGTGATTCCAGAGCTCAAACCTCCAGGTTCACGGTATGAAAAAAGAATCTAAAGTTACTAATTATCACAAATCTCGGCACTATATTGCAGGAAGCCAAAAGTAGGTAATTTGGATCAAATAGTTTTCAATTTACTTGTGTTCAATAAGTATGGAATTGACAATTCACTTTTACCCAAAAATAAGTTAGTTGTACCCAAAAGTAGGTGAATACTTAAAGTCAAAAGTAGGTAAATAAGAACTGGCCGCTAGATACTTTTTTCTCATCGTTTATGTTTTTGTTTTTGAATCATCCTTTGCAACGAGAACGACACATATGTTTTCTATAGAAGATTTCTAGGTTCATTTTGTCTTGAGTAACAAAATAAGAAATTGTTTTAAACATTTATTAGTGATGGTTTCTAAATTGAACACAGCTTAAGCACCTTCAAAAGCAATAAAAGCATTGTTTTACACACTTTGTTTCAATTAAATCGACAACACTGGATACGATGATAGATGATTCGTACACACACCTTCGTAATGCGGTGCGTAGAAAAAAGGTAAACGACAGTTTCAGCTTGCAAAATTATTCGCGGCTCGCGTTTTTAACCATGCAAATGACAGGGCTGATAGCGAGTCATTTTTTAGTGACTTGGCCACTTTTTTCAAGTCAGTCACTAAAAAGTCTCTTTTTTAAGGCCAAGTCACTAAAGTCACTTTTTCTTGTAATAAGTCACTATTTTCAACATTTTTAGCGTGAATTTATTTCAAGATTGATTATTCTTTGCATTGTGACGTTTAATCGTCTTTCTCTGTATTCATGATGTATACTTATTTTTCCTTAATTTTTATCAGGTTGATTACCTGAGTTTTCCAAGTAAGCAAGTCCAAGATCTAAACATATTCAATGTCTTGAAGTTTCGTATTCCATGTACAAGTTCAAGATATTGAAAATATTCCAAGTGCCAGAATTAAGTAAAAAAAAAATGATTTATTTCAAGTTCGTAATTAACTTTATGAAAGATTAGAGATCTTCAACGCAGTTCCATTAACTTTATAACAATTGTATTAAGTTTGAAGAAGGAGGAATGAAAGGAAATGCTGAGATTTTCAGTGAAACTCTATAAACAAACTGCAAGAACATAAAAGAAGTTTATACGCTGAAAATATGGGAAACTTACTGGAAGCTGTAAGAAAATCAAAGTGGTTTTTTTAGCATCCGAGACTTTTCAGGAATTTTTATGAAGGTTCTCCAATTTCAGAGAACTTCACAGGTGTCAAGCGAACTTGAGAAATTGAGAAAACTTGAGGGGTATTGTGCAAATTTTTAAGAAGTTCTAAGCACTTCAGAAAAGCTATATTGATTAAAACTCTATAGAGTAATTCGGGGCAAAAGTACGCATAGGCCTTTTTGAAATGTTCGAACATGAAAACCTGGCCACACTGTATGGGTTCGACACATCATTCGACCAGCTGAGCACAGGTGTAAACATAAGTGATTTGAACGTAGTGGCGTGAAGTTATGAGGTAATTTGTGTTTTGTGCAGTTTTGATCTAATTTTCAACATTTTGGGGATTATGTTTTGACCATTTAAAGTTTAGAAAAAAATGGGTATAAAAATGCTAAAAATATCTTTACTCTATGATTGTTTGAGAGGTGCAGTCATTCCGTTCAAACAGTTTCATAAGTTTTGTAATAAATCAAATCATTGATAAAACTGCATGTGGGGAAAAAGTACGCACAGGATGTCGCATTGAAATGGTTATGGTTTCGTACAGGAACTACAAGCGCAAAACCAGTCGGCAGAAATGCACTTCCCAGATGCTCGAAACAGCTCAGCAAAGAGTCCGGGCATTTTGAAGCGGCAGGTTGCGCTGGCGGCGAGATTCATGAAGATTCACCATCTGTCTTTGCGAACGCCTCAACAAACCCGTCTGGCCCGGATCATGGGATTTAACAAGCAACAGATCAAGGCATTTTTCGCGAATCTGTCCGAACTGAAACAGCAGCATAAATTTCCTCCACACCGCCAGTACAATATGGATGAAACTGGCATGTCAACTGTTCCGAATTGTCCGCCGAAAGTCATTGCATTGAAAGGTAAGACATTAAGGCAATACGTGGTAACTTGGTCGCATGGTATTTGCCTTTCGTTCAATACTTAACTTACTAAAAAAGTTAAATGCGTACTTTTGCCCGCATTACTCTAAGCGTAAATTTAGATAAATTCAAGATAGTTCTGTGATGTGCTGAAAAACAAATCGAGAATCCTTAAGATGTTCCGCGAATTTCAGGAAAGTACAGATACCTTCAGAGAATTTAAGAACAGAAGTCACAGAAGTCCAGAGATTTTCAGGGAAATTTAAATGAGTCTAAGGGAATTCTATTTATTTCCGAGCTTAACCGAGATTCAAATAATTTCAAGGAAATATTAGAAACCTTAAAGAAGTTTCGAGAAACTCAGTGAATTTCCGAAAACATCGGAAAACGTGAGAGTATTTTAAGGGTGTTATATCATGGAGATTTAGAGAACTTTGAAAATTTAGCTAAGTTAATTAGAGAACATCAACGAAGTTTCATTAATAAAAAGCGAGAACTTTTAGCAAGCAGCGATATCTTCAAGAAATTCCGGAGAACTGAATTTAGATATTTCTAGATAGTTTAATGATATTCAGCGAACTTCCGAGTACTTCGAGGACGATCAGATAGCTTCAGAATAATCCCATTAACTTAAGCAAATTTACAGCACTTACAAGGAGTTCCGTGGAATTATAGGGTATTCCAAGAATTCTATGATTGATCCTAAAACATCAGAAGCGTCGTCAGGGAATTATGAATATATATATCAGAAAATTTGCTGGATTATTAAACAAATTTAGAAAACTTCAGGTAAGCATAGATAAGTTCAGGGAAAAGCGAGTGTTAATAATAGTTATAATACTCAAGGAACATTTTCGAAACTTCAAGGCAACTTAAGGGGTTACGCCACCCTAGAATACAGAAAAATGCACCAACTTCATTTTTTTTTTGTTATTTAATAAATTTACATACTAAATTAACTTATATGGGCTTATAGTACACATAATTAGGGGTGCTTACAGTATTTTTTTCATAAGGGGAAACCACTGCGAGTTCCTGGCACTGCTTCCCGTGTAGTGTTACGCGGCCCACACTTTCTTCGTCGTAAATACAGGGCTGTTACAACAGGCGCGGATTTCGCGAATTTCGCGGATTTCGCGATTTTCGCGGATTTGTCGCGGATTTGAACTTTCAGTCGCGAAAATCGCGGAAACATTAAATGATGTCGCGAAAATCGCGAAGGGACTGATGTGCTGTCACAAAAATTATGGAATTCATTGTAACCTTTCCGTCCCGGATTATAATTCCCTGAGGTCTGTCCAATGTGAGACATTTTCCTTTTTTCCAATATGAACATAGCAATTTTCGTTGTCAAATCATAAACGAATCGTATAAATGCGAGTAATTGCCATGTATACCGAATATTCTAGGTTCTCCAAATCGTCCTGGAGTTCAGTTGATTTGTTCTACTAGATCAACCAAGACTCCAATAATGTCTGTAATATCGAAATATGTCCAAACAGATTCAAAGAGTCTATGTCGATTGTAGTCGACCTATTGCTACGTATACAAGATGTTATAGGTTCTGAAATCATTCTGGAG